CTAAAATTTATAAACCAATTCCACTCTAAACCGACATTTGACTATAATTTATAAACCAATTCCCCTCTAAACCGACATTTGACTATAATTTATAAACCAATTCCACTCTAAACCGACATTTTACTATGATTTAGAAACCAATTCCCCTCTAAACCGACATATGACTATAATTTATAAACCAATTCCTCTCTAAACCGACATTTGACTATAATTTATAAACCAATTCCACTCTAAACCGACATTTGACTATAATTTATAAACCAATTCCTCCCTAAACCGACATTTGACTATAATTTATAAACCAATTCCCCTCTAAACCGACATTTGACTATAATTTATAAACCAATTCCACTCTAAACCGACATTTGACTATAATTTATAAACCAATTCCTCTCTAAACCGACATTTGACTATAATTTATAAACCAATTCCACTCTAAACCGACATTTGACTATAATTTATAAACCAATTCCTCCCTAAACCGACATTTGACTATAATTTATAAACCAATTCCCCTCTAAACCGACATTTGACTATAATTTATAAACCAATTCCCCTCTAAACCGACATTTGACTATAATTTATAAACCAATTCCCCTCTAAACCGACATTTGACTATAATTTATAAACCAATTTCCCTCTAAACCGACATTTGACTATAATTTATAAACCAATTCCTCTCTAAACCGACACTTGACTATAATTTATAAACCAATTCCACTCTAAACCGACATTTGACTATAATTTATAAACCAATTCCTCTCTAAACCGACATTTGACTATAATTTATAAACCAATTCCCCTCTAAACCGACATTTGACTATAATTTATAAACCAATTCCCCTCTAAACCGACATTTGACTATAATTTATAAACCAATTCCCCTCTAAACCGACATTTGACTATAATTTATAAACCAATTTCCCTCTAAACCGACATTTGACTATAATTTATAAACCAATTCCCCTATAAACCGACATATGTATAATTTATAAACCAATTCCCCTCTAAACCGACATTTGACTATAATTTATAATCCAATTCCCCTCTAAACCGACATTTGACTATAATTTATAAACCAATTCCTCTCTAAACCGACACTTGACTATAATTTATAAACCAATTCCCCTCTAAACCGACATTTGACTATAATTTATAAACCAATTCCACTTTAAACCGACATTTGACTATAATTTATAAACCAATTCCACTTTAAACCGACATTTGACTATAATTTATAAACAAATTCCCCTCTAAACCGACATTTGACTATAATTTATAATCCAATTCCATTCTAAACTGACATTTGACTATAATTTATAAACCAATTCCCCTCTAAACCGACATTTGACTATAATTTATAAACCAATTCCTCTCTAAACTGACATTTGACTATAATTTATAAACCAATTCCACTTTAAACCGACATTTGACTATAATTTATAAACCAATTCCACTCTAAACCGACATTTGACTATAATTTATAAACCAATTCCTCTCTAAACCGATATTCCGTTAGTCTGATGAGCTGGCGGGTTAGATTTATTGTGTGTTGAAGTTCGAAAAAACGTTCCCGTCTATATGTCGATATTCTATGAGTGTGTGGCAGGTCGGCAAATCTTTCACTTCAAAATGTCTATGTACTAAGAGGGTGTGTGATTATTTGAATATGTTATTTTCTCCCCAATTGATTTTTAACCTGCTATTTTATGACTATTATAACTCTTGGTCTGTCAATATCTCTATTACAATAACAAAATATTTTCACTGTTAAAACTGTGCTTAATAGGGCCTTCATGAATAATTGTAGAATGATATAGAATGAAGTAGACAAGTAGAATATTCAATAAGGGACTTGATCAGTTATATACTAGTATAATATTCAAATCAGGCTTCAAAATAGCAATGAATATACGACGACCGACAAAAACCTTTTGAAATTTAACTTTTGTGTTTTGAAATTTTCTTTTATGATAACTTTACTGTTAAGTTTAATAAATTGTGATGTTCCACTATACATTACTATTGTCATATCGTACCATTATTCTAGTTGTTAGAATACAGACCCCCCGCCATGTCTGTGATTGTTATTCAACTCTATAGTAATAATCGTGTAATATATTCTCTATTATAGCTCTAGTGATAAATCTTCTCTCTAGTTTCAAATGATATAAATCTTACTGATTGAATGCACAAGTAACTTTTATTAATCAAAACAATGTAGGGGGTATCATCTTCACAATGTCAAGATATTACACACTTCATCTCCACAATGTCAAGATATTACACACTTCATCTTCACAATGTCAAGATATTACACACTTCATCTCCACAATGTCAAGATATTACACACTTCATCTTCACAATGTCAAGATATTACAAACTTCATTTTCACAATGTCAAGATATTACACACTTCATCTCCACAATGTCAAGATATTACAAACTTCATCTTCACAATATCTAGCTATTACAAACTTCATCTTCACAATGTCAAGATATTACAAACTTCATCTTCACAATGTCAAGATATTACAAACTTCATCTTCACAATATCTAGCTATTACAAACTTCATCTTCACAATGTCAAGATATTACAAACTTCATCTTCACAATGTCAAGATATTACAAACTTCATCTTCACAATGTCAAGATATTACACACTTCATCTCCACAATGTCAATATATTACACACTTCATCTTCACAATGTCAAGTTATTACACACTTCGTCTCCACAATGTCAATATATTACACACTTCATCTTTCACATGTCAAGATGTTACACACTTCATCTTCACAATGTCAAGCTATTACACACTCCATCTCCACAATGTCAAGATATTACACACTTCATCTTCACAATGTTAGGTGTTAGTAATAGTTCTGTATAGTATATAATAATAAGTGTTGTGTGGCTGTGTTAGTAATAGTTATATATAGTATACAATAATAAGTGTTGTGTCGCTGGGTTAGTAATAGTTATGTATAGTATATAATAATAAGTGTTGTGTCGCTGTGTTAGTAATAGTTATGTATAGTATACAATAATAAGTGTTGTGTGGCCGTGTTAGTAATAGTTATGTATAGTATACAATAATAAGTGTTGTGTGGCCGTGTTAGTAATAGTTATGTATAGTATATAATAATAAGTATTGTGTGGCCGTGTTAGTAATAGTTATGTATAGTATATAATAATAAGTGTTGTGTCGCTGGGTTAGTAATAGTTATGTATAGTATATAATAATAAGTGTTGTGTCGCTGTGTTAGTAATAGTTATGTATAGTATACAATAATAAGTGTTGTGTCGCTGGGTTAGTAATAGTTATGTATAGTATATAATAATAAGTGTTGTGTCGCTGGGTTAGTAATAGTTATGTATAGTATATAATAATAAGTGTTGTGTGGCTGTGTTAGTAATAGTTATGTATAGTATATAATAATAAGTATTGTGTGGCTGTGTTAGTAATAGTTATGTATAGTATACAATAATAAGTGTTGTGTCGCTGGGTTAGTAATAGTTATGTATAGTATATAATAATAAGTATTGTGTGGCCGTGTTAGTAATAGTTATGTATAGTATATAATAATAAGTGTTGTGTCGCTGGGTTAGTAATAGTTATGTATAGTATATAATAATAAGTGTTGTGTCGCTGGGTTAGTAATAGTTATGTATAGTATATAATAATAAGTGTTGTGTCGCTGGGTTAGTAATAGTTATGTATAGTATACAATAATAAGTGTTGTGTGGCTGTGTTAGTAATAGTTATGTATAGTATATAATAATAAGTGTTGTGTGGCTGTGTTAGTAATAGTTATGTATAGTATATAATAATAAGTGTTGTGTGGCTGGGTTAGTAATAGTTATGTATAGTATATAATAATAAGTGTTGTGTCGCTGTGTTAGTAATAGTTATGTATAGTATATAATAATAAGTATTGTATGGCTGTGTTAGTAATAGTTATGTATAGTATACAATGATAAGTGTTGTGTCGCTGGGTTAGTAATAGTTATGTATAGTATATAATAATAAGTGTTGTGTGGCTGGGTTAGTAATAGTTATGTATAGTATATATTAATAAGTGTTGTGTCTCTGTGTTAGTAATAGTTATGTATAGTATATAATAATAAGTGTTGTGTGGCTGGGTTAGTAATAGTTATGTATAGTATATAATAATAAGTGTTGTGTCGCTGGGTTAGTAATAGTTATGTATAGTATATAATAATAAGTGTTGTGTGGCTGGGTTAGTAATAGTTATGTATAGTATATAATAATAAGTATTGTGTGGCTGGGTTAGTAATAGTTATGTATAGTATATAATAATAATTGTTGTGTTGCTGGGTTAGTAATAGTTATGTATAGTATATAATAATAAGTATTGTGTGGCTGTGTTAGTAATAGTTATGTATAGTATACAATGATAAGTGTTGTGTCGCTGTAAAAATATAAAGTATTTATATTGGTAAGTAAATGAGTAAATTATTATAAATTACAATAATAAACATTCTTTATATCTACCGCCTCAGGCCTCCTACTAACTATATAATACATTTATTATATTCTTTTGAAGATTTTTAAAAGTTACATTTATAGAAATTGTTTATATTACAGCTCCACCACCTGATATCTCAAATTGGTAATTGATGCAAAATAAATATGTTTTCTTCTTGTGACCTTTGCCAGTGCTTCTATATGAGAATATCTACACACAACACACAACCAATGATTTAAGATCGAGCGTATTCTCAGCTGTAATTATGGCGAATATAATCAGATATATGATGAGATATTGAGCTAAAATTTTACTATATTATATGTAGTGGTCTGTAGAGTAAGATGTCTTCACACCCTCTATGTTGGCTACTGTCTATTTCAAGTCTGTGCTGTATTTACCTATCTCTCTGTCTGTCCAGTGTCTTCACACCCTCTATGCTGGCTACTGTCTATTTCAGGTCTGTGCTGTATTTACCTATCTGTCTGTCCAGTGTCTTCACACCCTCTATGTTGGCTACTGTCTATTTCAGGCCGCGCTGTATTTACCTATCTCTATGTCTATCCAGTGTCTTCACACCCTCTATGTTGGCTACTGTCTATTTCAGGTCTGCGCTGTATTTACTTATCTCTCTGTCTATCCAGTGTCTTCACATTCTCTATGTTGGCTACTGTCTATTTCAGGCCGCGCTGTATTTACCTATCTATCTGTCTATCCAGTGTCTTCACACCCTCTATGTTGGCTACTGTCTATTTCAGGTCTGTGCTGTATTTACCTATCTCTCTGTCTATCCAGTGTCTTCACACCCTCTATGTTGGCTACTGTCTATTTCAGGTCTGCGCTGTATTTACCTATCTGACTGTCCAGTGTCTTCACACCCTCTATGATGGCTACTGTCTATTTCAGGTCTGTGCTGTATTTACCTGTCTATCAGTCTGTTTAGTGTCTCCACACCCTCTATGTTGGCTACTGTCTATTTCAGGTCTGTGCTGTATTTACCTGTCTATCTGTCTGTCCAGTGTCTTCACACCCTCTATGTTGACTACTGTCTTTTTCAGGTCTGTGCTGTATTTACCTGTCTATCAGTCTGTTTAGTGTCTCCATACCCTCTATGTTGGCTACTGTCTATTTCAGATCTGTGCCATATTTACCTGTCTATCAGTCTGTTTAGTGCCTTTACACCCTCTATGTTGGCTACTGTCTATTTCAGGTCTGTGTCGTATTTACCTGTCTATCAGTCTGTTTAGTGCCTTTACATCCTCTATGTTGACTACTGTCTATTTCAGGTCTGTGCTGTATTTACCTGTCTATCTGTCTGTCCAGTGTTTTCACACCCTCTATGTTGGCTACTATCTATTTCAGGTCTGTGGTGTATTTACCTGTCTATCTGTTTGTCCAGTATCTTCACACCTTCTATGTTGGCTACTGTCTATTTCAGGTCGGTGCTGTATTTACCTGTCTATCTGTTTGTCCAGTATCTTCACACCCTCTATGTTGACTACTGTCTATTTCAGGTCTGTGCTGTATTTACCTGTCTATCAGTCTGTCCAGTGTGGGGAGTGTTTCAGTAGATTGTAAATCAAAGTCAACTCTAATGGCCGAATTAGGACAAACTTTAAACATTGTTTGTATTTTATCAAACCTCAACAACCAATCTTCTCAGGTAAGTAATAAAATAAAACTTTACGTCCATTTTCTCTGTCCAGTTGAACGAATAAAGACGGAGAACGCCATACAGAGTGCAATGAGGAACATTTAGCACCATTAGTCTACTCATTTTCGATTTCCAACTGTCGAGGGATTGGTAACGTGCAGTATATCACATTGAACCTCGGTTAATTATCGCATCCGAAAAACGCTTTTTTCATGTCAGTCCCTCCAACTTTCATCATCTGATTGAGCCTTTCACGACTCATATAGTAACACCATGCAGTGTTCAATGGGCCAGGTATTTAGAATATGGTCGGTGTGTCAACATATATAGTGGTTATATATCATGAATATTATTTTATTACCTGGATATCGTCATCTAATTACTTGTTTTTTTCAGTTTGAAAATCTCAGTTGTTTCAGGTATCTCCTTCACCCTTACAATCCCACAAAAACAGACGTCATAATATTGATAATATCAGTACACAAGAATGTTCCATGGGTGGACCTTTTTCATCAAGTTAGCTGTTATTATTAATTTTTCAGGTCCACTGGGCGGTACAGCGGAACTCAGGACCGTTACGAATCTACCCAGAACTTACCAGTAAATATGACGAAACAAGAAGTATTATTAACTTTAATGAAGCCTGGGTCACACTGGCTGTAAATGATATAGATGTAGAGGATCAGACCAAATATATCATTAAGTTTTTAGATCTCAATATCATTGAATCAGTTTATACAACCATACAAGGTGAGACGGGAAATATTAAACTAGAATAGACGAGGTGTGGTTTACAGTGCTGAATAATCGATACAAAACGGGTCCAGACACGGTGCGAACACGATTTGTTTCTCCTATTTTCTACTGTATATCGACAATACGAAAAGCTACTATCAGCCTCGATCTGAACCGGTATTAAGATTATAGAATACTAGGTCCTGTATACGAAGTCTGAAATATCAACCCTGTGCCCATGCTTTCATAAATATTTACAGAAATATTACACCCTATAATTCCTAACAAACCCAATGTTAGTTCTCGAACAATACCATCTTACCTGTTCGGTGTTTTTCAGGTCCACCAAGAATCACCAACCAATTTAAAACAATTTACGGTAAGGCTGGGTATGATTTATTGTTAGATTGTCGGGTTCAATCGTGGCCCAACCCCACACAATATAGATGGTATTACCAGAATAATAATCTGATACACGATGCTAGGTAAGTATTCTTACTCTTATAGTAGTACTCTTCCTTTTAACGTACTTGACAGTTGGGAAAAACAGTTGGTTAATGTCATTGTCAGGGTATGTTTCCCTTCGTTTCACTATATTTTAGAGTTTTTATCAAACATGTAGAGTTAAAGTAATAATGAATGAATGTAGATTTTCTGTTATCGTTATGGGGAAATAAACGTTTCGCCTGATCATTTAACTTGTCACGTGATAAAGCAGGTTTTAGGTTTTTAGTATCAGAGTTATAATCTGTTTATATTATTGTCCTATGATTTGATTTATTGATTATTGATCTCGAGGCGACAATAAGAATTATGTTACTAAACAATAATTAAATAGAATGTAATAATTACATTTCCATTGTTTAATTTAAACGCTTCAAAATCATTAAGAAAAGTTTAGGTATGTATAGGGCTCATTGGTGGAGCCAGGTTTACGTCCGAGGTTGGGGGAGCGAAATATCTGAGGTTGCCCGAATGTTTAACCGATAGTGTTGGGTATCGTCATTCATGTCACGATACGATACGTATTGCGATACAAGGGTCTCAATACGATACATATCGCGATGCAAGGGTCACAATACGATACATATCGCGATACAAGGGTCACAATACGATACATATCGCGATACAAGGGTCACAATACGATACATATCGCGATGCAGGGGTCACAATACGATACATATCGCGATGCAAGGATCTCAATACGATACATATCGCGATGCAAGGGTCTCAATACGATACATATCGCGATACAAGGGTCACAATACGATACATATCGCGATACAAGAGTCACAATACGATACATATCGCGATGCAGGGGTCACAATACGATACATATCGCGATGCATGGATCTCAATACGATACATATCGCGATGCAAGGGTCTCATTACGATACATATCGCGATACAAGGGTCACAATACGATACATATCGCGATGCAAGGGTCACAATACGATACATATCGCGATACAAGGGTCACAATACGATACATATCGCGATACAAGGGTCACAATACGATACATATCGCGATATAGGGTAATGGGATAAAATACAACACTTTATCTTCAAAGTTTCTATATATATATTAATATATAACTTTATAACTGTGATATTTTGTAATATAATTGATAGAAGCGGTAATCGTCCACTGTCTTTATAAAAAGTTTCTAACAATTTCAGTCAAGTCAAAGGAAAATCCCCACTTTTTATGGACTGAGATGTATCGTCAAGTATCGATACAAAACCTCGCGATACGATACGCGTAAAGTGGCGTGTCGTATCGTAATACATTGATTCATCGATATATCGTGCCAGTAAAACTATGTTAGTTTGAGGGGACGTTTGAGGAATTCACATTTGTTCTTCGATCCAAAATCTAGTTGAACATAAGACTTCATTTTTTATGATATGTCAGACTGATTTTCGTCCTTCGTTCTTTCTCACCATATATACTTAAACCTCCGTTTTATTTCATTTCAGACATCAGATCTACGACAGAACTTACGCAGATCGTTCTATTAGTCACAGCTATTTAAAGATTCTACGGTTTAACCACAGTGATACTGGTACCTATATCTGTTCGGCTATAAATAAGATTGGCGAGCAAAAACTGGAACTAGAGGCGAAAGGTTGGTGTTTTTTATCAATTAGATAACAGTAAATATATCGAGCACTAAACTCGTCAGATCACGATGAAATATTCCCTTGGTTTCCCTGTCAGTCGTGTATATTGGATGGACTGGTGCAGAAAATTGAGGCCTCAATCAGTGGAGTTTTTANCGGGGGAAATTTGGCTAGACCCCCCCCCCCCCCCTAACCCTAACCCCACAGTTTCAAATTGCATACCATTTAGTTCTTAAATGCCTGGTCCAAAGGTGAAATCACTTCAAAAGACGCCTCCTTTCCCGTTACCCTCTCTTCAAGTTTGTTGTAGGTATTTACTTCCATTCTCATGGAGGTCGACACATGCACCGCCCTCGATGCTGTCTCCCTCCACTGTGACCCTCTCCCCTCCCATGTGACCCACCCCGTGACCCTCTCCTCTATATTACAGTGGGTAAAGATGAAACAGTAGACTGTCGAGTTCAGTATAAATGTAACAATCTACAGACCTGTAATTTGGATCATGGTTGTTTATGTCTAGAAGGCTACAGAGAAAGATCTGACGGACGGTGTCAGGGTAATACATTTCAGTTTTTCAAATTTAGTCGTGGGATAAGTGGGAAATCAGAGCCCTCGTGCTTAAAAGACATGTCGAAAGGGTGGGGCTATAAAAATCTTTTTACCACTCTTAGTGACACGACATAATTTGGCAATACAGATGAGACATTAAATGGGGTTGATTTTGGGTTTGAATATATGTCAATAGTCTTCAGAAGTACTAGAAATGTCTCACAATTCCATCAAAAATATCTCGAACTAGGAATTTCACTTTCTATTTCTATAGATGTCTTTTCTATATAAGGCAGTGTCTCAAGAAAAGACGAGTCGTCTTTTGAACTTTCAACCGAGGATATTTCTAACCACACATGGATTTGAAGGCTCAAATTCCGATAGTGAGCTGTGAACATTATTACTGATTGGCTTAGCTAAAAATTCCCGTTTCTACGATTGGTCAAATGGCGAAACTGTCCCTTTAAACCTGAGGCCGAAATCCAAAATAATATTTGGCAATACTTTGAGGATAGCCATTAAAATCACACGCTTTTCTTACAGATATAAACGAGTGTCTACTCGGCAGCCATAACTGTGAACAGATCTGTAAAAACATTCCAGCGTCGTTCACTTGTTCTTGTAAAGATGGTTATGTGGTGGATGATTCCAATAATGAATGTACCGGTAGGTTATCGTTTACCCTGTTTTGCAACAAAAGTTTTTCTAATGCGGAGTTTATATCAGAAATGCTTGCTTCGTCTGTCTCAACCTGAACAACTGATACACATAATAACTAACCTAGAGCATGTCCAATAATACTAATAATACTAATAATAGCAATAATACTAATAATGCCAATAATACCAATGATG